ATGCCCAGTTGAGCAGAGAAATCACCAACATATCTGGAGTATTCAGCACAGGTATGGGACATCTAAATCTTTCAGAACACACCATCTGTCACTAATACTAGACTATTGATCTCGAATATTCTAAATTCAAATAGGGAAATGCATTCAATAATCCAGAGTTCCTGGGTGGTCAGAAAAATAAGATAAATTCACAATAAATGCTCAGATCACTCCTGCTGCCTTTGTGGGTACAGCTCTCTCTCCAGCACCCTGGAGAATTGTCCCTCGTGGAATGGGTCTGAAGTCTGGTTAGCACTATTAAATTAAAAAATTAACCAACAATTCTCCCTTCATCCACCTCTGCCCTTACTAGCATGGTATTGCTATTGATCCCCATTAGTGATTTAGTGATTAAGCAGGATGAATTGCCTATGAATGTAAAGCAAGCTGAAGGGCCCCCGGACACACAGCTGAACATTCTTATTTCGATAAGTATTGTACATGCCCATATAACTTTCAACCCAGTGCCCCAAGCCGCCTTGGATGTCCCTTCTACATCCAGCGTGCAGCATTTTCCGTATCTTTCTACCTTGCTCTATTTTGACTTCTGATTTCCTCTTTTGTTATCTTTTCCACTTGGGCAATGGCCCACACCTCTCTGTTGACCTGCTTTCCAATTACCAGACCCTATCTCTAGGGGTCCCTTGCTGTGAACTAGCATATGCAAGCACAAAACTGGGTAGGACTGCAGATCTGGCTGTGTGTTCATCATCCAGGCCCCCTTTTTCAATTATGCCCTGGCTTCTAGGTCAGATAAGGCACACAATGAATGAAATGAGGAGATGCCCTTTTTTTTCCCATTTCATAAACATACCCTGGGAGATCTTGGTGAATATTAACATAAGAATGAAAAAAGGTATTATCTTAAAAGCTGGCAATAGAGTTTTTCTGCAGGGAATGGTCTTGGAAAAGCATGTAGTCCCCAAAAGCCTGATTGTTGGAGGAGCCCAAACAACAAAACAGAAAAGTTTGCTGAACTGCTCTGTATGAGAGATGAAAGAGAATTTGCTCCTGAGAGAGGATGGGAGGGAAGAGTTTGGAAAAAAAGGGAGAACACAAGGGAAGGGAGAAGAAGCAGTGAAGTAGAGAGAGACTGGGATTAGGTTTAGGGAGGGGTCAGTAAAACTCTGAGAGTAAATATAACCTCCTATGTTTTGGAACTATTGTGTAAACTAGTGGTTCTCTAAGTGGGGAGAAACAGCTGCCCTTGGGAGACGGTTAGAAATGCTAGTTCTTAGGTTCCATCCAGACCTACTCAGTCTGAGGCTGCTGCACAGAAATCTAACAAATCCAGGTAATTTTGATGTGCTGCAAGTTTAGAATCAAAGTAAGTTTTTCTGCTTCTCACCTCTACACCAAATTGCAATTACTGTCTAGACATTCACAGGTGCTACACGTGACAGTTCTTGATGTTTCTGAGGCGGCACAGGAGTCAGCCCTGGGAGGAACAGGACTCCGGAGGTAGAGAGGACCATGAGCATATCACCAATAAATCTGCAGAAATGTCTGGACTTTCACAAGCCAAGGAATTGGGTGGGGTGGGGGTGATGGGGGTGGCAGTGTTCGTTGTGTCCTGGGGACAGGGAGGGCCCATTGGCCATGTTCCTGCAATAAGCCTACTTCCTGCTTCCCAAATCTTACATCTTCCCTACCAGGCTTCCCATATGCCCTCCTTGCTGCTTGGTCTCCACAGCTGATTTTGCTTTACACTCACTGAGAAAAAGAGGATCACATAATGGGCACAACCTCTTCCTCCTTCCCTGAAATCTAAAAAACCTGAATCTTTGCCCATCTTTCACTTTGTTCCCATCACAGTGGAGAAGGGATGGCCCTCCCTGCCAAGGGTCGCTCCCTGGATCCCACCCACTCAAGGATTTCACTCTTAAGTCAGTGGTCTTCAACTATGCCTTCAGGAATCAGCTGCCCTGGTTTCTAAAGCCCTACAGCTCAGGCTGCCCTCAGACCAATCCGAATGCGACAGTAGTTAAAGGTCCCCAGGTGATTCTATCATCTTTGTCTAGACTCTAATTGTTAATGATACTAATTCTACTTTCATTCCTTCATTAAACTTCCCCACTAGCTCCTGATGGTGCCTACATTTACATCCCCAGATCAGCCATCTCATTGGAGCTCTAGATTCGCTTATTCAAGTGTCTACTTGACATTGCATTTGGATAGCTCACAGATATCTTCAAATTAACATTCTAAGTGTAACTCTTCATTTTACTCCTAGATCTTCCCCTCCACTTCCCTTGGTTTTCCCAGCTCTGAAAATGATAGTACCATCAACCCATGTGGTAAAACCAGAGACCTAGAGTTAGTTACTCTGGACTCCTTCCTCTTCTTCACCTCCCATGTTCAATCCCTCTGCAAATTCTCTTCTAAATCCCAAGTAGATCTCCATCCATCCCCTCTTTATCTCCACCACCACCACCATAGTCCAGTCCATCATCATCTTTGTCCTATGCCAGAGCTTCCAGCCTGGGGGAAATGGAAGCGCCTATGGCCAGGATCCTCACCTGACCCTAAAGTACTTGATGATGTAACTGGCCTACTGCTAGGCCACTGCTTCCACACCCCTAGGCAATGAACTGTTACTGACTGAGTCACTATATAAAGAGCTCTGCCCAGTGCTCTGGGCAGAGGCAGGGATGGAGGTGGATTATGGACCTCAGACTGCTGGATGCAGATGTGATTCTAGCGCTCAACCTACCACCAGGAGAATAAAGTTGGGTATAAACCCTCTCACCCCCAGAATGTTCCATTGTCATTTCTTGTCTCACTGAATCCATAGTGAACTTGGCCAAGGCTAAACCCTCAGGCAAGACACAAATGGGTCTCTCTGGTTTTATTCTTACTTCCTCCAGTCGGTGACACCTAGGGGGATGTCCCTCTGCTCCATTTCTGTAAAGCAGCATCTAGCTCTGGGGCCATGTTATCTATAGGTCTAGGCAACTCCTTCTGAAGAGAGGTACCTGGAAGCTGCTCACATGGATACAACTGAATACCAAGGCCGTGATCAGGTAGTCTCAGGTTATTAGATTACCCACCTCTTGAATGGTTTTTCTGTAAAGTCAGTATGTCAGGCAATATTGCTACTGTGTCCCTTCCTGGGGACAGGGAGGGCCCATCAGCCACATTCACCTCTAGAGGGCCCTTTTCACCTCTAGAGACGGGCCACATAAATTGTAATGCATGTGGACACATATTCCATTTTGTACAGCTATGCAATCCAGAAAAGCTTCAAACAAACCAAAGTTTGGGTAAATACTATAATTCTTTAAATACCATAGGGTATTTTGGTTATATGAAATTGTATGATTTTCTTTTTGTAACACAAAGAAAGTATACAAACTCCTGCTTTATTTATTTTGTAAGTATGGAGTTTTAAAATACAATTTTCTTATACTAGGCCACCTCCTACATATTCCTCCATCTGTCTCCTTTGCTGATTCCTTCTGTATTAGACCCCTAAATGCTGGTGTTCGTTGGAGGTTAATACTGTATCTTCTTTCCTTCTGTGTCTAATTTTCTTCCTAGGTTCAGATAACTCCCAAATTTATATCTGTTTCTCATCTTCAGATTCATATAAAGGGATTCCTACTAGTCACTTCTGCTTGGGTATATACAGTTATCTGCAACTTAACATTTTCAAAATTTCAGTTTGTCTCTATATCTTCCCTCCCTGTGGTCTGTTCCATCTCTGTAAATAGCACTCCATCCACTCAGCTGCAGAATGCCTTGTATCTTGACAAGATTACTGAAATAGGAGGGCACCTTTGAACTGCTCATGACTCAGTTAAAATCTCTTGTTGCCATCAACCTTGAACATCTGCCTCATAGATAGGATTATTGGGTACAAGATATTGGGGGAGGGGAGTAGGGGTATAGGATTAGCTCAGTGCCATCTGCCAACACTACTAAAATGTAATTCAAAGAAAATGTCAGTAGGATCCAGGCTTATGACACATTTGAGTAGAAAACATTGTCATTCACTTACCCTGATTCAAATGCAACTCTCACAAACAAGGGTCATTCAAAAGCAAGAATAATATAGGCTCATTTTGGAAGATACGGAGAGCAATATATATGGGATAAAGTAATGTGAGAAGTCTCCTGCCCCACGTAAGCTTTTTTAAGTCTCATTATCTTATTTCTTAAAATCTAAAAGCAGATGCTTATCAATGCTGCTGTAACATTTGCTTCCGCATCTGGAACTTGAAATCAGCCCCATACCAAGTATGGAAGCATGGGACAGATATGGAAGGGTAGAGGTGGGGCTGGGGAGCAAATACTGTATGTGACTGAGTTTTCAAATTGAATTGATAGAGAAATCCTTGACTTGACTGTGTTTATTTGACTGTAACTAGATTAAGCTTGTGTAGCAGACAGAAAAGAAGACTCAAAGTAGCAGTAGAGATTAAACTGTTATATTAAAATAAAGTTATATGTTTGTACATCCAGAGTTATGATTTATGAAACTTGTACCCACTATACATATAAACAAATTTATGAGATCCTTTACATATTCAGACTTTCTGTTCTTGAATTAGGGAGATAGAGAGGTTAGTTCCACTATGGGCGAGATCAGCTTTATTCTGTTTTTCTGAAGCCAAAGTTTTTTAAATAAGCCCCTTTTGTTTACAAAGCAATAGCATACATAGATGTGATACCACTAACATATAGCTCCACAATTAATGTATTGTGTAACTTTAGGCAGTCTTCAGTTATTTCCTGGAATAAATGTATAACAGCATTAACATCTTATATATAGGTTTTGTCCTCATATACACTGAGGACAAATTTCATACATTTTTCTATATCTTAATCATGGAAACCATTATTTTAATATGGAAAGAACATGTCTTCTAGAATAATTCTGCTATACCTCCAAAAAAAAATGTATTGGAAATACATGAACTTTTTAATTTTTATAAGAAAAATAAATGCCTGCTCCTTACCTTCACACCAAGGATTAAAGAGAATGTACATGTCTGTTTCTGGGTTTCTGCTAGTGCGGATTATGCCATAGGGGGTCCAGACAGCAACATACATGCGGAATTTCCCCACAATGCACTCTGGGGAAGACTGGATAGACAGCCGGACAGACTTGTTCTCTCTCATGACAACTTTAGCCCCCCATGTGCCATGTTGGAGCTCTGACACAACAGGTACTGGGATGTAGGTTCCCTTGTTCTCCTGAGGATAACGACCTACGAGAAGAAAGAAGAAATGCAGTGTTGAGTACATTTCACAAACCATTTTTTGTTCTCCTTTTGTTATCTTAATAGTGAAGGTGGAAAATGATTCATTAGACTTGAAATTATAGGACTTGGGTTTGAATTTCATTTCTGCTGCCAACTTTCTGCAGGATGGGAGTAAATTTTCTTCACTTCTTTACCTCAGATTTGTCATGTGTAGGGACTCTTGTTGGTTAATTTGTCAATGAACTTAAGTAAGACGTAGAAGAACTGATCTCAGAGGCAAAACAAAAAAACAAGAGCCAGTAGGGTGAGTTACCATCCCTTGAAATTCCGCCTCTCAAAAGTTAGAATTGCTTTTTCAGGGACTTACGTAAATGTTTTTGTTTATTGTGAATATACTTTTACTATTTGTTATATTATCTATAATAGGATTGTATTTATGGGTTTGTCCATATGTAACAATTTTCATATTCAACCAAAACACGTGTTTATTGCCAATCTCATAAGTGATTCAGGCTTATGTCATGGACAGGAATTCAGTCTCCAGGGGCAAATTATCTACGTTTAAAGCTTGGCTCTGCTACTTCGTTACTCTTGCAACCTCTAGGAAACTACCTGACCCTTACAAATCCCTAGTTCCTTCTCTTTTTCTTTATCAGTCAATGAGGATAACAATACCATCTAAGGATGAAATAAATTAATACGTGTAAGATGCTTTGCATATAATTTCTCATGCACAACAAATGGGTCGCTATTATTTTAATAGAAGATTACACATCAGAGCATTTTACCATATTGCCAGGCTTATCATACTTTATGTATAAGTGATCTCAGGGTAAATCTTATTTCTCTTTAACGCTGTCATTTTGGATCCAGTTCTTGTTTCACGGTGCTAACCTCGGAACCAAATTTTATCAATGAGTTTTTGAAAAACTAACATCTTCAGTGTGTAGAAAGTAAACTTCACCGCATTCTTTAACTCTTTAGCTTACAGTGTGCTTTATAGTTTCGTTTACAGGATAATGAAATACATAGATATTTTAAACTGGAGCAAACTTTCATTTACAAATTTTACCAAAATGTATTCGACATTTAATTCTTCTTGACTTGAGGCAACATACAGAGGCAGATAAGTCTGTAAATTATTTCGATTACAAGCAGAAGAATCTTTAAGAGCAAAGCTTATTCAGTTCAATATTTTTATATACTACCTGTACAGGATTCTACATTAAAACAGACAAAAACAGTGTTTCATTGTGGCCTCTAATTACTGAGGTCTTTAAAGCATTCTTTGGTAGGCATACTGCTGAGGATAGAGCATTCTAAGGAGGTAGTTGTATAAGTTACTGCTGTGCAATTCTATAAGATGCTCAATCTTAATGAAAATAATAATTTACACAGTGCAAGCCAGGGAGAAAGATTAGAACCCTGGTGCTTTGCTATGTGTTAGGGGTATCAGCTAATCACCACTCAGGATGAATATTACCATAAATTCAACAGAGCCTTAAAAATGGTTTTTGCCAAGATGTGACAGTGTCTAGGTGGTGTCTTGGGAATACATGGGGCTTAGCCTCTGAGAAGCCTGCCCATAAATCCACCTGCAAGAAGTGTTTGTTCCAAAGGCAGCTCCATGCCCGTATGTTCAAACTGGGGAATGAGGTTGCCCTTTTTTCTGGAGGCACTGTTGCTCTCTGGAGCCCCCATCACTGTTGAAGTGTAGATAGATGTCAAAAGCAATCTTGCCAGCTAAATAGGATCATAATTCATTTATTACAGTGTCCCTGGGCAGCTGTTGCCACTAAATACTGGCAAGGACTTAGAATACACAGAATTAAACACAATACAAGTTTTGTGAAAATAAACTTTCAGAGATAAAATCTATACAGTAATGACAGACTTAGATTTTTTTTAAGATGAGTTATATAAGCATGCTCGCTTAGGAATAGCGAGAACCAGGAGAGCATGTCTGAAGCTATGTGCTATGTGCTATGAACCTCAGCGTCACCTTTGTACTAACATCCACTTTGTTAGAGTGTTGAAATAAATAACACAATCACTAGTTTCCATTATTACACTTCAAATTATGATTTTAAAGACTCACATTTTACCTATTAAGTTCATGTTACACAAAAAAAGTAAAGAGAAAGGAGAACCATGTTTAATTCTTGCTGGCTTTGAACCAAATCAAGACCTAACCTAGCTTGTGTGGACATTTTTCATTCATGCAACGATATGCCTACTATGTGATAGGTAGTATCTTAAGTGCTAGGGATACCACGGTGAACAAAACGGACTTCTGTGTTCATAGAGCCTCTGTTTATGGAAAGAAGCCAATGCTTATGCTGTTTATTATGTGCCTGTTACTGCTTTATTCGTTATAACAAACTGTGAGAGGGAAATCATCATCATTATCTTAATTTGATCAATCAGGAAACAAAGACACGGGGTCATTAAGCAATTTGTCCTGCATGATGCAACTAGTAAGTAGTGGAGTTGAGATTTGAACCTAGTCAGTCTGGCTTGAGAGCCTGAGAGTTGAACCACTAAGCTTTAGGGCAGTTGTATGTGTAGAAAATTCTTTGGAGTTGGTGAGAACTATGTTCAAATTCTTTCATTTAAAATAATTTATTCTGTGGGTTTTATTTTTCTTTTTGGAATTTAATACAGTTGTCAAATATTACATTCTCTTATGTTCAAATTCTGACTCCACAATTGAATACTGGTGCCCCTTTGGGCAAATTTCCTAATTGTCTGAGCTTCCACTTCCTTGTCTTTTTGCAGTCCTGTAACTAGAAAGAATATAGGCTATATTAAAATGAAAGCTTTATACCTGACACAGAGGGATTGACCAGGAGACATTTATTGTTTGTGTTTTAAACATAACAGCTACTAGAAAGTGAAGCTAGAATGAAGAAGAGGTGATTCCCTCACCTCCGATTCTAAACCTGAAGAAGGGTGGGGGTCCCAGGGAAAATCAGTTACTTTTGTTGAGGCGGTATTGTGGCCTCGGGGAAAGGAACTCAGCTGGCTCTGAACTCACTGTGGGATCCTGGCAACGTACTTATCCTCTCAACCAAAACCTTTACTCTGTAAAACAGGGATAATAGTGGTCACAGTTCATGGGGGAAAGGCAGCTGGATAAATAAGTTACTGTTAACTGTTATTCCCCATTTTCTCAGGCTTTCTGATTCCTCCAAGTGGCTCTTTCTCTGCTCCCAAAGTGTGAAACCAGGGTGGATTCACAAAGAGTCAACCTGCAGAAACCAGACCTGCTTTCAAAGGCCAGTTTATTCCAGATTCAAATATATTGAGCTGACTCATTTTTCTTTCAGGAGAATTTGTACAGTCCCCGACCCCACACCCACTAAAAAAAAAGTGATGATATTCATTATTAACTGAAAAGCCTTAATAATTCCAGACTCATCATGGAAGAACCACCTGAAACCTGTCCCTCATTTATAACTTCTGAGATTCCCAGTCATTTGTGGTCACAGGAATCTCTATTCATGATTTCGAGCAGTAGTTGGCAAACTGTGGTCCATGGACCAAATGCAGCCAGCTGCCTGTTTGTGTAAATAAAGTTTTATTGAACACACTCATTCATTTGTGTCTTATGGTGCTACAATAGCAGAGTTGAGCAGCTGTGACAGAGATCATATACATGGTCTGCAATGCCTAAAATATTTTCTATCTGGCCTTTGCAGTAAAAGTTTGCAGACCTCTGCCTTAAAGCATTTTACATTCTCTTTATTTAAGAAGTGATTTACTATAGACACCTCTGTCTAACATAACACATGGACCTCAGAAGAAAATACCATCCCTAGCTTTTCCTTCCAAAGAGAAATATGTTACTAAACTAATAACAAATATCTGTGCTATTAAGTCAATATTTAGTTTCCATAAAGTCTCCTAGTTAAATTCTTCACAGTCTCAGAGGGTGCTGAAGACATAAGAAGTTGGTTGTAACGTTTTATAGATTTCACTATATGTAGCTGAAATGTTCAATTTTATTACTGTAAAATTTGTTTAGAGTTCCCAGGGCAGTTCACATAGACAGAGATGGAGATTAAGTGAGAGGAATGAAGGCTGATTGCCTGGAGTCCTTACAAGAACACCATGAGGGCAGTTTTACAGATGGGAAACTGAGGGTCTCCTGTATAACGAGACAGAGGCAAACAGGCTTTTAAGATCTCGGCACCGGGAAGCCTGCTGTCCTTTCTCTGCATCATGTGACCTCCATGGAGGTAAAGGGAGGATACTGGTGCGGCTACTGAGATGAAAGCTACGAGAAGGAGAAAGCTGGAAGATCCGAAGGGATGTGAGGCCAAAGGACAGGGAGGAGATGTATTGTGGTAAACAGGAGACCTATGAGACACAAACTCAATAAGTGGTAGGGAGGAAGAAGGCCTGGCAGGGAGGAGCTTGGAAAAGGGTCTCTGGGCCACCATGGATTGAATCAGGAAGGTTTCTAAAGTGATGTCACTGAATGAAGGGAGACGCGTGAGCAGCGCGGCTGATATGATCAGGTCAGAGGGCACCAGCCAGCACTGGGAGCAGACCAGGAACGGGCAGTCGTTACGTGACTTCATTCCAAAGGGAGGAAAGAACCTGGACTCACAGACCTTTTCATATTCACTGTATGGAAAAGCTGATTATTAATGTGAGGCCCGACATGCCAATAGTACCTCAGGGTCTTGTCAGCTGCGCTATTACACCATGTTTAATTCTGAATATAATGACTTCAATGACAGCACTGGGGAAAAATTTTCCATGATTAAGTTGTGAGTGAGAAAACTGTGACAGAGTAGTATTTCATTTCACTAAATAGCCCTCTCACCCCCAGGAGGTAGCATGTTTAAGAGACCACAGTCAGGCTACACTCAGGAACACCCATCCATCAACATCCATGGTTATCCATCAATTATCCTTGGCCAAATGCAGGTGTAAAACGCAGCCCTACAGAGGTGACCACCATGTTTGCTGTGAGTGTAGAATGCCTGGATAGCATT